ATTTTAGGATACCATACTTTACGAACTTATCCAAGTACGCCTGTATGTTCTTCTTGGCCTTCTGAGGTATGTGATACTGGCGTAGGCTCACAGGGTACAGGTATTCGACACACTGCTTCTTTTCTTTCAAGTCCCATTGTTTTTTGACCTTCAGAGATATGGAATCCTAAATACTTGACAGTTGGCTGACACAATTGCACCTTCTTCCTTGATACCTTGTAACATGCCCTCCAAAGAATATGGAGTAAATCATGGGTTGCTTGTTGGCACATCTCTTTAGTAACTGCAGCTATCAAGAAATCATCCACATACTGAAGCAATACACATTCCCCTGGGATGGATCCAAATAGGGTAGGTGAATTCTTGAATCCTTGAGGCAACCTGGTCCAAGTCATCTGACGCTTTGATCCCGTAACAGCATCTTCCCATTGAAAAGCAAAGATGCACTGACTTTCAACAGCAAGTCGAAGGCAGAAGAAAGCATCTTTAAGATCTAGGACTGTAAAGTGAGTTGCCCCACCAGGAATTAGGGCAAGCAGATTATAGGGGTTGGGTACCACTGGGTGTATATTAACTACTGCATCATTAACTGCTCTTAAATCTTGTACAGGACGATACTCATCTGATCCTGGTTTCTGAACAGGTAATAATGGAGTGTTCCAAGAGGAGGTACAGAATTTTAGGATACCATACTTTACGAACTTATCCAAGTACGTCTGTATGTTCTTCTTGGCCTTCTGAGGTATGTGATACTGGCGTAGGCTCACAGGGTAGGCCCCAAGCTTTAGTTCAATATGTATCGGTGGGATATTACGAGCAAGTCCTGGAGGATTATTCTCTGCCCATACTCCTGGAATGTCAAATAAAGATCCATCACTCTTAGGGTTTGCATTTGTTATTACAGAGTAGAAGCTCAATTCTTCTTCTTTTGGTACCAATACTGCTATCATGCCTGGTGATTTATTAAACTTCAGAGACGTTGATCCATTAGGTAGAAAAGTTATCTGAGCTTGAAGCTTTGATAATAGATCTCGTCCTAGAAGTTGAATTGGACACTCTGGCATATATAGGAACTGGTGCTTCACAAAATGGCCTCCTAAAATGCAAGTGCGACTCCTGAGAACCGGTCTAGCAGTGCTTCTCCCAGTAGCTCCTATTACAGTTACAGTCTTTCCAGAAGGAGGAGCTACCAACTTAGTCACCACAGAATGTTCAGCACCTGTATCAATCATAAAAGGACTTCTCTTTCCCCCTATTGTTACATCGACCATAGGCTCCGCTCGGCCAAGGGGGATGGAGCCCGGTCGGTATCAATAGTCTTCCATGACAATGTCAGCCAGACCCACAAAATCTCTATCTTCCCTATCCCTAAGTCTCTGAGTAGGGGGATAATATCTTCCTTCCTGAACACCCCCTCTGCCATTTCCATTAAATCCTCCAAAACTTCCTCTTCCTCCTCTAAAGCTACCACCGTAACCACCTCGCCCCCGTCTCTCATCTTGTCTACCACCTACAATATATCCCCTCTGTGGGCTGTCACTCTTCCAATGTCCTTCCTCTCTACAATATGCACATTGATCTCTGCCTAGTGGTACCCTGCTCATCCTAGCCTCAACTCCTCTATCCATCTCCCCTCCCTGTCTCGTTACACTTGTGATAGCTACCGCTAACATGTCTGCTTTCTTCCTCATTTTACGTTCCGCCTCACGTTTTGTCTGTTTCCCTATTCATATATACTTTATTTGCAACCTCCATTAACTGTGATATGGACATCCCTGCAAACCTTCTAACTTTTGTAATTTTCTCTTGCTATTGTTCTGGGCCTGGCTGACAAATGCTGAGCTAAATCATTCGGGCAATATGTGGTGGACCAGGGGTAAGCCGGAGAGGCATTTGTAAATGTCGGGATTAAAGGGTACCAGTCATTTGTTGAGTTAGTATGGGACTTCGATAGGGTTGTTTAGTAACAGGTTCCGATCTGGGAGTAGTAAGGTAGGTGAAAGGGGGTGAGTTAATTTTACTGGTCAGCATTAGGTGTTTGAAAAATAAAAATGTGTTTAAACCAAAAACCTGCCAGTAGGTGTCACGAGAGGATAAGTAATTGTATCAAAATAGTCTTTATGGGTCTAACAATAAAACTTGGCTTTTAATATATTCATACCTAAAATAAAACCTTACGACAAGAAATATTAAAATAGAGTAAGCAGTCCTACTTCTGTCTGTTGTATGCCAGTATAGAGTTAAGGATGATTAAACGGTCATTAATATTTTAAACAATGTAATTCAATGTAACTCCCGAAGATAGCCAGTAGGTGGCCCTAGAGTGCTTCCTAAAGTCTAATGAAGCAGATAGACTTTAATTATGTGAGACAGGTATGTGGGTAGGCAGGGACAATATAGCAGGGGGAGTGCAAATACCAGCTACACCAGTTTTAGCTTGGAAGGAAGAGTAGGGGGTTGGGAATCAGATGCAAGGGGGGTGTCCAAACTAGGTGGAATTAAGGCCTTAGTGGACAAATAGGTTCTGGCTACCATGGACTCCATTGTTCCTCTTAGCACAGCTTGATCCATTTAGCAGTGTTTCAACAATCTGTATACAGAAACTACTTGTATAGCCCCGGCATATTTTATATAACAATGTAAACCTGCTGTATTAAATCTGGATCACGGATCCACAGGAACACTGGTTACCAGAACAGGCCATCCTCTGCTACACAGAGTATTTTAATCTTTTGGGGGACAGTGTTACACCATAATCACAAACATCATATTCCTTAGAAAAGTTTCTTTTTTTTTTTTTAAACATACAAAACAAAGGACCATTTGTGAATCAGAAGCACCCATGATTTCAGCAGAGCATCTGATTCAAAGCAGTACAAATATACAAACAGTTTCAAGTCACACCAGTTACCTTAGCAACAGCACCACGCGGCACGCTTACTAGGCCCAAACATACACGTACACACACGCACATGATCCTCACATGCTCAACAATATCACGACGTCGCACACACGAAATTAAATCAAAAACCCACCAAAGCCTGTACACTTATCAATGTAACTATTATTCAAACCATACAATTATCTACACTATTAATCCACATAAACTAACCGATCACTTAACATTTCAACAATTTCATCTCTACAGTCAGTGGTTATGGTACGGTTAGTAACTATTGTACAGTTTACACAATTATGGCTTTAAAGTTACAATATCAGTTAGTACACATGCAAGGTTAAACAGTAATTTTAGTATTTTTCAAGTAATATCAGTAGTTATTGTACAAGTCAGTGGTTATGGTACCATGCACTATTTTACACTATACACACAATTTACACGTCCGCTAAACGGCAGGCTCAAGCTTTCTAGCAGGACATACAATTCACCAATTAAAACGTATTTAACAACATTTACAGTAAACCCAACTACTCTAATTGGCCAGTACCTCGAGAACTATCGAACTATTTACACCAGGATTCGGTTAGTCTACGCTGCCCAAGCACCACATATAGCGAACTAGTGGGCGGAATTTACAACAGTACCCATTTAGTCTATCTACTCTATCAAAGGTCTAGGGGCTGAATTTACAACAGAGCATACTTCGCCAAGATAGGTTTAGAACTAACCTACGGAATGTACATCAGAATCTGCTTAGTCTCGCCGGCCTCCCCGACCTAGCGACCAAAATTTACACCTAGACACGCTAGTCAAGACAGGACACCGGTGTAAACTATTTACACCAAGATTTAGCCTGACCCAAACCACCTATAATAGACTGGCTGACTACAGAGCGTCTAATTTCCAGATAAGCGCTGCGCCTTTGCTTCTTCCTTCCAGAGGGAAGGGGCAGTCCAATATCTGGTTCCAAATATAAAATCCCTTGTGGGCCTACCGCTCTAACGGTATCAGTCTTACCTCTTAGTTCCTGGACCTGGGTTCACACTCATCGACAGGAAACCCCAGTACTCACTGCGTAGAAGCCGATGATCTCCTGGACAACAGGCCAGTGGCGCCAGCTTCCGTGCGATGAAGTTCCCGGACCCAATGCACCAAAAATGTTACCGGAGGAATAACAGGAACAAACCGCAGAATCCACACATAGAGATATGGACACAAGTCTTCAGGAAGTAACAGGTCTTTTATTTACACACCGATCGGGTCTCACACTGAACTTGTGTTCAAAAGGTATGAGCCCAGAGCATAGTTTAAGTTTGCACAGGCTATTTATTAACAATAACTCCTCCCATTCATAGCTCACACATACCTTTAGACCAATCAGTGAACAGGATATTCACCTAATATGGGCAGACCGTATGACTCCTTTTAAGGACAAAGGAATGTGACTACGGTTGATGCACATGCTCAGTACATTGATGACAATATCTTAGCTACATGTAACTAACTAACAGATACAACAAACACCTGTACTTGTATATGCCACATGGAGATTTCAGGCCTACTAAATTTTGAACCATGTTGAAATCCCATCACAGTATAACTCAGAAGCGTTTTAGGGATTTGTAGTTCTTTTTTTTTTTTCTTCATGTTTAAATCTTTATTTCACTTTTTCAAATTACAGAAAAAACACAACCAAAAAAAGTAAATAAATAAATAATATACATAAAGAGACAAATACCATTCACAATGCAAGATATTCTATTACCATCTTTTACTTTTATACATCTTACAATCTCTTCTAACTTATTTTCGGCTTCAGTAACACTTTTTTTTTAATATCTTTACATCACTGAATTCTTATTTACATTAGGCATTTCTTTTTTTTAATCCCTTCTGATATACTTTATACATATCCTGATTCTTGTATTAAATTAGGTTTTTATCCCTCCTTCTCTATAAAGAAGAAAAATTTAAAATTTAAAAATAGATAAAATAAAATAAAAATGTACATTTAATTATAGTAATTTCTTTTATGAATCTGCATTTCCAATGTTATTTAATTTATAAAATTTCATATCAAACGTTTATATCAATCTGTTCCTGCTACTTGAATCTCAAACACTTTTTTTTCTGTTCTCGTTCTCTTTCCCTCGTCTCCCTTCCCTCTTCCTTCATTTGTTTTGTATCACCTAAATTTTATTAGCCATCTGTATTAATGAAGCTATTTTGCTTATTTCTTTCCCGTTATTTTCTCTTAATTTCCTCTCATTTCATTTCCACCTCGCCCAAATGTTATCATAAATATCTTGTTTGCCTTTTAGCCTATATGCCATCTCCTTGTAGATTTTGGTAGTAGAGATCTTTTCCCTTATTATACTTAATGATGGCACCTGTTTTGTTTTCCATAAATTGGCTACAGCATTTTTTGTAGCCATCAAAATATGTATAATTAGCACTTTTTCTTGTAGCAATATTCTCTCTGGCGTAATGTGTAGTAGGAATATTTCTGGTTGCAGGGGCATCGATGTGTTTGTAACTTTAAAAATTAATTGTTGAATGTGTTTCCATACATCAATATTTTTTTTTACACTGCCAAAATATATGGGTCATAGATCCTTCCAATTCCCCACATCTCCAGCATGTCCCCACGTTCTCTGGATATATTTGCGCCAATTATTGTGGTGTCATGTACCACCGTAGCCACATTTTATATGTTGCTTCTATGTGTTGAATATTATGTGTGGCAGCCTTAGTTGATCTCATAGCCATATACCATTGAAAGGGCGCCCACTCGTTGTTTAGCTCCTTCTCCCAATTTAACATAAAAGGCAGTTTCTCTGGTTTTGCTAGATTTAATATTCCTCTGTAGCTTATTGATAAGAGGCTTATCTTGGGGTCGTCTCCCCAAACATAGCCTCCCAAAATCATTCCACCTCCTTCACTTGAAGTTTCATTAAAATATGTTTCACTCTGAGATATGTATAGAGTTCCCTGTTATGAAGATCGTATTTAATTTGTATATCTGGGAATTGATGTATAGCTGAGCCTGCTATTAGATGTCAGGTTTTTGTTAATCCTTTCTTTCTCCATGTTGTTATGTTTAAATCTTTTGTATAGTAAGTTAAACTTTGCAGAGTTCCATAGTAAAAATAATTGCCTTTCCCCAGAAGTTTAGGGGCCCAGTAACTCCACAACCTCAGAGATTTGTGTTGTGGATAGGGAAATATAGTTTCTGAGATGAGCGCGATGTTTTGTCCAAATGAGATCCAATATCTCATATTGTGGGACAATGGATTGTTCTAATATATGCCATAGGGGTATACTAGATTTATCTATTAGTGCCGCTGTTTGTGCCAGCATGGAAGCTATATAATATTTTTGAATATGCGGTACTCCCAATCCACCCTCTGTCATTTTGCAGCTCATTGTATTCAGTGATATTCTTGGGGGTTTGCGTTTCCAAATATGAGCATTTATTGTTGTCTGAAAATTTGTTATAATTGATTTAGGGATCATTATTGGTATGGATCTAAAAAGAAATAAAATCTGTGGTACTATGCACATTTTAACAGAATTGATCCGTGATTTGTAGTTCTAATGATGATGGAGACATTGCAACATTTAATAGTTTGAAACAACCTGTCCCAGTATCACACCTCACACGTGTGGAAAGGGATGGCAGTGAGATGCCAATGAAATAGGCTACCTGATGCAAGCAGTTTTGTCTTTGTATTTCTGGTAGTTAGTGCCACCATGTGGCAATATAAAGGTACTGGAGATCATCCTGTAACCGCATAAAGGGTGGGTGGTGAATAGCAACTTTTGGTTTGGGGCCAAGTACAAACATAGCTCTGTGAATGGTCTGTCGTAGTGCAACTGGTACACCTCAAAGGCCTGCCCATCCACTGTTATGATAATTCATACCTACCAATGTTAGGAGATATGTTATACTTTGATTGCCCAGACTGCCCTATATTCTGCACTCTCCTGAGAAACAGTCCAGTGAACCTGTACATGCCTGGGGAGACCTGCAATCAGGGTCACTGGCCCCAGCATATACTTGTATAATACTGGACTATTGCCCCTCTTGTCCCTCAGTCTTCCTGTAATAGGAACAAAATAATATATGGATTGTTGGGGAAGATGGTTGCCAACAAATGCTTAGATTGAATAGTGCCCTAGCCTAACTATAGAGCTGCCTCTCGATTAGTTAGGTGACCTCTTAAGGCATCATGCTGTAGTCTTGCCTCTCTTGTATCCTTGCTGTCACAGTGAGTATCAACCAGGGTATTTTTTTTTGTTTTAGTTTTGCCGAAGACCTTATCAACTCTATAGCCACCTCTAGTGATAATATAATGTGTTTTTTTGTTGTTGCTTGTATTAGCCTGTGGTAATGTTTGGCATTAACAATTTACAGTAGCCTGTCCCACTCAAAGATGAAAGAGGAATGATTTTGAAACACACTACATACAAAGGAAGGGAGAAATTCCTAACTTACATATAGTTACTGAAACAAACCTCACTGGTAGAGTTGAGCGGACACCTGGATGTTCTGGTCCAGCGGGTTCGGCAGAACTTTGAAAAAAAGTCCGGGTTCAGGCTCGAACTTGACCCCGAAACCGAACCCCATTGAAGTCAATGGGGACCTGAACTTTTGGGCACAAAAATGCCTCTAAAAAAACTCCTGCAAAGAGCTAGAGAGCTGCAAAAGGAAGTAAAATGTGGGTAAGAGTAGGACAAGTGCCCTGTAAACAAATGTGGATAGGGAAATCACTTAAAATAACATAAAATACCTAAAAATTTAAAATACAACTGAGCCATAAAATAGCACTAGATGGAATCTTTGATTTTAGCTTTGGAAGAACATAAATCTAAATCTAAATCATGGCTGTCGGGAGGATCACCAGAATTATCCATTTGAGAGAGGGTTGGAGAGAGGGCAGGGTATTCTCTATCATTGATCAAACTGAGCTCAACTCCTGATGCATGGAGAAAAAGCCTTTACAAGCCTCTGCTATTGTGTACATAGTTTATACTAAGTGACCCATAGGTTGAGGAGGCGCTGACTGTGGCGGTGTAGGTGGAAGCAGCGGTAGAGGAGGAGGTAGCCAACACTGTTTTTTATATATATATATATATATATATATATATATATCTCTATATAATTTTATTTTTTTAATTGGGTTAGCCCCCAAAATATTGGGACATATAAAAAAAGACAACTCTGTTCCACAGAGTAGCTGTTGACATTATAGTTGCGCATATATTTGTTGACTCTAGAGAACCTCGGGCCAATCGCAGATCCCCGTGACGGCGCCTTTGCATTCGGATGTCATCCATATCAATTTTCTATGCCAGTTTCTGCACCTACCATGGTGACCACGGATAATGGGGAATCAGGGTGTCAGGATTACTGTTTGATCCAGCACGTAGAACTGTACAGCACGGATGACAAATAAGTAACGTATTACCGGTCCTTAGAATGGCCGGATTTAACGTACAAAGAATAGTCAAAAATACTAGCCGAGGTCAGGGAACACAGAAAGGGACACAGCGATGAGGAAAGTCAGGATACCAGAATATAGAGAAGTCAATAAACAAAGCCAAAGTAAAAAACCAGGTAGAAAACTATAAACAGGAACGCGCTCTCAGACAACCACAAGGGAAACCACGACAGGGCACTGAGCAGGCTGAGAACTGGGCCTAAATACCCCTCCTTTAGTTCTGATAGGCTGTAACCGGCCTTTGACCCCAAAGTCAGTTACCAGGTTTCATTTGCATAATTGCTGCTCAGCATTAACCCTTCTGTGGATTAGGTTGCTGCTCGGCACAACTTTTCCTGTGTGGACAGTAAATGTCATTAACCACATTTCTATAAGCGGATGAATACGTGACATTACCCCCCACCTGAAGAACGCCCACCGGGCGGACAGGACCAGGCTTGAGAGGAAATTTAGCGTGAAAAGCGCGGATCTTACGGCCCGCATGCAGGTCAGGAGCCGAAACCCAAGAACGATCAGCAGGACCGTAACCTTTCCAAACAACCAAGTACTGTAAAGTGCCCCGAGAAAACCTAGAATCCACGATAGAAGATACCTCATACTCTTCCTGACCACCCACCACCACCGGAGGGGGAGGAACACAAGGAACAGTATATCTATTGCAGACAAGAGGTTTGAGTAAGGACACATGAAAAGTGTTGGGAATCCCTAAAGATGCAGGAAGAGCCAAAGAGTAAGACACTGGATTGATCCTACGAAGCACTCTATAGGGACCAAGGAATCTGGGGGCAAACTTCATGCTAGGGACCTTAAGCTTGATGTTGTGAGATGACAACCAAACCCGGTCCCCCACTTGGTACACCGGGTTGGCACTCCTACGCTTATCAGCAAAATGTTTGAAGCATTCAGCAGCAGCCCCTAGAGCAGTTTGAACCTTAACCCAGGTATCCCGAATGGAGGCCAGACGCTCATCCAGAGCAGGAATGGCAGTATCAGAAAATACCACAGGGAGAACCGTAGGATGCCTACCATTATTGACAAAAAATGGACTGTGCCCAGAGGAGTCATGAACAGCATTGTTTCTAGCGAACTCGGCCCACGGGAGTAGTTCGGACCAATTGTCTTGTGTGCTATTAATAAAACAACGCAAATAAACTTCTAATGACTGGTTAGCCCTCTCAGCTGTACCATTGGTCTGTGGATGGTAGGAGGAGGAGAAGGAGAGATCAATCCCCAATTGTTTACTGAACGCCCTCCAGAACCTGGACACAAACTGAGAGCCCCTATCAGACACAATATTGTGGGGGATGCCATGCAAACGGACAATTTCACGTATGAAAATTAGGACCAAATCTTGCGAAGATGGCAACTTCTTGAGAGGAATGAAGTGAGACATCTTAGAAAATCGGTCTACCACCATGAGAATAGTAGTGAACCCAGCAGAGCTAGGAAGCTCAACAATAATGTACATGGATAAGTGGGACCATGGAATCTCAGGAACAGGAAGAGGCTGCAACAGGCCACAAGGAAGTTGCACACACAGAACATGCCTGCACATACTCCTTTACATCTTTCCTGAGTGAATCCCACCAAAATGATCTAGTGATCGCGGCAGTGGAATTATTGATGCCCGGGTGTCCAGCAGTTATATTGTCATGGAACACTTTCATGATATTAACCCTTTCACATAGGGGAATGAACAGTTTATCACACGGTTTACCACTGGGCGCCTGAGGCTGGGCCTCCAGTATGGTGCCAAGCAGTGGAGAAGACAGTGAGAGGACAGTAGTAGCAATAATACAAGATTTTTGTGGTCGGTTATGATCAACAGGGGGTCCTTGGAACCCTCCAAAAGATGTCGCCACTCCTTGAGGGCAAGAATAATGGCCAACAGTTCTCTATTGCCAATATCATAGTTGCGCTCAGCAGGAGACATCTTTCTGGAGAAGTAGCCACAAGGATGCAATGGTGTTCCCTGGCTTTCTCTCTGAGAGAGAACAGCCCCTACCCCTGTCTCGGATGCATCAACCTCCAATATAAAAGGTTTACTAGTGTCGGGATGTTTTAGTATGTCCGCAGAGGCAAATCTTTGTTTAAGAGTCTCAAAAGCATTCACAGCCTCTTTGGACCATACCGTGCTACTAACCCCTTTGCGAGTCATATTTGTGATTGGGGCTATTACAGAAGAAAATCTCTTGATGAATCTTCTTTAATAGTTGGCAAAACCAATAAACCTTTGAATGGCTTTTAAACCACAGGGTAATGGCCAGTGTAGTACAGCCTCTAGTTTTTTAGGATCCATTTGAAATCCTGATGCAGAGATGTTGTAACCCAAAAAGTGGACTTCAGGCTGGTCAAATATGCACTTTTCTAATTTACAATAAAGTTTATTTTTCAACAACGTCTGCAGAACCTGTTTCACATGGGAGTGGTGAGTTTGAAGATCAGGGGAATACACCAAAATATCGTCCAAATAAACCAAGACAAATGAGTAAATGAATTCCCTGAGTACATCATTTATAAAGTCTTGGAATACGGCCGGGGCGTTGCATAACCCAAATGGCATTACCAGATATTCATAGTGTCCACTACGGGTATTAAATGCCGTCTTCCACTCATGATTCTCTTTAATTCTAACCAAATTGTAAGCGCTCCTAAGGTCAAGCTTAGTAAATACTTTAGCTCCCTGAAGTCTATCGAACAATTCGGAAATGAGTGGGATAGGGTATGCATTTTTTACAGTGATTTTATTAAGTGCCCTGTAGTCTATGCAAGGGCGTAACTCACCACCCTTTTTCTCAACAAAAAAGAATCCTGCACCAGCTGGTGAGGATGACTTTCTTATGTGCCCTTTGCTCAAGGATTCTTTGATGTATTCCTCCATTATTTTACTCTCCTGGGGAGATAAGGCATAAACTGCCCCCTTAGGTGGCATAGCGCCTGGAAACAGGTTAATGGCACAGTCATATGCTCTGTGGGGAGGCAATACATCGGATTGAGCCTTGTTAAACACCTCCTGAAGTTCTCGGTATTGTATGGGAACTCCAGGAGTTTGGGGAGTGGTAGTGGGAAGGTCAATAGTATCCAATCTCTTTAGTACTGGTTTTATACATCTCCCCATACACTCTTTACCCCATTCTAATATCTCCCCATTAGCCCAGTCAATATAGGGATTGTGCTTACTCAGCCACGGAAACCCTAATATGATAGGACATGATGGAGAAGTAATAACCTGAAACGTCATCTCCTCCCTATGGGAGGCCCCAATGGAGATCGTAATAGGGACAGTTTCGTGGGTTATAAGCGGTTGTGTGAGTGGTCTACCATCAATAGCCTCTACAGCTAGCGGCGTAGGTCTCTCCCTGACCGGTATCTCATTACCCCTAATAAACTGGACATCAATAAAATTTCCAGCAGCACCTGAGTCCATTAGGGCACTGCAAGAAAACTTCTTGTTATCAAGGGAAATAGATACCTCAAGGAGGAATCTACTTTTGTTTTTGTTAGAGGACAACTCCATCACACCTAAGATCTGTCCCCTTAAGGTTCTTAGGTGCGGAAGTTTTCCGGACGCACTGGACAATTAGTTATCATATGTCCCTTTCTACCGCAATATAGGCATAACCCCTCCCTTCTCCTATACTGTTTTTCGGCCTCTGACAGTCTAGTGACCCCCAACTGCATAGGTTCGGGTTCGGACTGTACAGGGAGGTTAGACAAAACAGGTTTAGAGAATTGAGGTGCTAGGGACATAGCCATACGTCTGGTCTTGCTTCTGGTGACTTCTCTGAGTCTTAACCTATTATCAATATGCATGACAAACGTAATAAATTCGTTAAGACTCTTATCTCATCTCATCTAGTATAGTCTCTGAGAGACCCTTTTTGAATGCTGAGATTAACCCATTGTTAGTCCAGTCTACCTCGGAAGCTAAGGTACGGAATTCAATAGCATAATCCGAGATAGACCGGTTACCTTGTCTGATGTGCATTAGGGCAGTGGAGGCGTCATCCTCTCTACCCAATGGCTCAAATGTGAGCTTGAATTCGGCAAGGAATTCCTGGTAATTATGAGCTATGCTCCGATTACTCTCCCACAACGGATTAGCCCAGGCAAGGGCCTTGCCCTTTAATTGATTCATTAGATAACCAATTCTTGCTCTGTCCGTGGGGAATGACCCTGGTGAGGCCTCAAAATGGTACTCCACCTGATTAAGAAAACCCCTGCATTCCTGGATATTGCCATCAAACTGTAGGGATGGTGATAAGGAGATGCTAGGAGTCCTATTAACAGTGGGTGGAGGTACACAGGGTAGAGGTGCTATAGGAGGAGACACTGCAGGCTGCAGATGCTCCGTTCTAGCGAGAAGCGTACTTAAAGCCTGAGTGAATTGATCCATGCAGTGATCATTCTCCTCTAATTTCCTCTCGCAAGCAGCTATGTGCTGACACAGTTCTACAGGATCTATGGCCATGTCGTAATGTCAGGATTACTGTTTGATCCAGCACGTAGAACTGTACAGCACGGATGACAAATAAGTAACGTATTACCGGTCCTTAGAATGGCCGGATTTAACGTACAAAGAATAGTCAAAAATACTAGCCGAGGTCAGGGAACACAGAAAGGGACACAGCGATGAGGAAAGCCAGGAGTCAGGATACCAGAATATAGAGAAGTCAATAAACAAAGCCAAAGTCAAAAACCAGGTAGAAAACTATAAACAGGAACGCGCTCTCGGACAACCACAAGGAAAACCACGACAGGGCACTGAGCAGGCTGAGAACTGGGCCTAAATACCCCTCCTCTAGTTCTGATAGGCTGTAACCGGCCTTTGACCCCAAAGTCAGTTACCGGGTTTCATTTGCATAATTGCTGCTCAGCATTAACCCTTCTGTGGATTAGGTTGCTGCTCGGCACAACTTTTCCTGTGTGGACAGTAAATGTCATTAACCACATTTCTATAAGCGGATGAATACGTGACACAGGGTTCTATTCCATACAGGGACCCTGAGAAATGTCTACCACATGCAAGGAAGGCAGCAGGCGCGCAAATGACCCACTCCCGACCCGGGAAAGTAGTGACGACAAATACCAATACAGGACTCTTTAAAGGCCCTTTAATTGTAATGAGTCCACTTGAAATCCATTAACTCTGATCAATTGGAGGGAAGTCTGGTGCAGAGCCACTGACCCGTGCATTCTGCAGCTGAAACTCCACTATCGCCTGCTGCTGCTCAAACAGTCTCTCCAGCATGTGCAAGGTGGAGTTCCACCTTGTGGGCACGACGCATATGAAGCAGTGAGCGGGAAGGCCAAAGTTACGCTGCAGCGCAGACAGGCGAGCAGCAGCAGGGTGAGAACGCCGAAAGCGCGCACAGCCGCTACAGTGAATGTCACATCCTGTTCCAAGTTGCGGATCAGTCTGGTGATGGCTTCTGGTATCCAGTACACTTTTTACTGAAGCTGCATCAGGGTCCGGGTATGTGGCCGCTCAAACGCTGGTGCTCAACACCAGGGGGCGTGCGGTTACCCTGCTAATCCATTCCACACTGTGACTCCTAACTTCAACATCTGGCATACTGGGTCCCGATCGTCCGATCGCCGCCCAGACAGTGTCTGGGTCCTGGTCACCGGACTTCCAACTTGACTGTGAAACTACGAATGGACTGTTAAATCTGGTACGAACCCGAACTTTGCAGTTCGGGTTTGCTCAACTCTATTATGGATCCTTTGATCGCTAAATGTATTACTTGGATAACTGGTAATTCTCAAGATAATACATGCCGACGCGCGCTAGGGGACGGCCACTCCACTTTTGCACCCTGCTGCCTCTTATGCTGTGCGACCAGCGACTCTTCCTCCAAACTGCACATGTCACTCGCATGACCTTGATTCCATGTGGGGTCTAGGACCTCATCATCCTCCACATCATCTTCCACCCACTCCTCAACCCTGCCCTCCTTGCCGGTATGCACACTGCAGAAAGCCACAGCAGTTGGCACCTGTGTTTTTCCAGCATGTAAAGTCTGCAAAGGACATATGGAAATTGTTTTAGAATTGTATCCAGGCAACAGTTTTCCCTATAAACTGATCTCTCAGTTTGACTTGTGAGGGTATTGCCCCAGAATTACAATATTGTTTAAGTACCTCTTAGCTATTGATAACTGGTTTAAATATAGCAGCTTGTTATCTGGTAGTTTCTAGTGTAGAAAATATCAATCTGTTTTCTATCACTTATATCTGTGTAACAAGAGTTGTAGGTGTGAAACAATTAATACAAGTGACCAATGTAGTAAATTCGAATCAAAGTTACGCTTCGATTTGACTATCAGATATGAAGAGCAGGCCCCAAAATGTACTATTTAGTAGATTAGCAGCAAAACAATAAGAATGTTTACAACTGCGCTCTAAGCGCACTATTAAACGCTTCTATTTGACTCTCAGATATGAAGTGCAGGCCGCAAATGTACTATTTAGCAGTTTAGCAGCAAAACAATTAGAATGTTTACAACTGCGCAGTAAGCGCACTATTAGACGCTTCTATTTGACTCTCAGATATGAAGTGCACCCCACTAAAATACTATTTAGCAGTTTAGCACCCAAAACATTTTCAGTTTCAAAACTGCAATGTGACAGCAGTATTTGACGATTCTATTTGACTCTCAGATATGAAGTGCACCCCACTAATGTGCTATCCCACTAATGTACTATTTAGCACCCCAAAAAATTGACTTTTTAAAACTCCGATGTAACCGCGGTATTTGAAGCTTCTATTTGACTCTCAGATATGATGTCCACCCCACTATTGTACTAGTTTGCAGAATTATTTCCTAAGCTGTCCCTCACAGCTGCAGCATTCTCTCCCTACACTAATAAGACCTCATGTGCGTGCAGCGCTACGCGACTCCAGCTTATATATAGAGGCTGGGTCATATGCTGCACTGGCCAATCACAGCCATGCCATTAGTAGGCATGGCTGTGATGGCTTCTAAGGGCACACGAGTCAAACGCTTGTTGATTGGCTGCCATGCAACCTTTCAAAACGCGCCATTAAATCGCCAAACACCGAACTCCAACCCGAACATACAGTGATATGTCCGTGTTCGGGTCCGGGGTCCAAATACCGTAATGTTCGGTACGAACCTGAACTTTACAGTCCGGGTTCGCTCAACTCTACTCACTGGGATTTCTTCAGTGAAAATGACCTGATGAGAGAAATTGATTAAATACTCTCAAACTATATCTAACAAAATCCATGCTTTGGGCTAGAGGACACTGGACATCAAAGATACTGTTGAAACAATTCAATATCATAGAAGGTGAATAAAATAAAAAATAAACACACGCTGGAGCCATCCCATAGGTGTCCAAGAGGCATAGCCTTTGCTATAACAAGTTTATTAATACAAAATGAAAATTGATTTAGATCAATAAGAAATTCTGAAAGTTCTAGTTAGTGGTGCACAGTATTTATATCACTATATTCAATTAAATATCATAATGAATCTCATTTCATCATGCTGTGACACAGAGAACGGCTAGAACTGTTCTCTAATAGTTCCCTAATAATTTAGAAGGCAGGCTTGGCTCCCTTCTTATCAGACATTTTCTAAAAGGTCATGCCTAGCTTACCCAGGGACTGGTTCCTCTTTGGCTGGAACACTCCAAAAGGCAGCCCAAAGGATATGGAGGTACCCCTTCTTTCTAAACCTATAAAAGAGGTGTGACAAATGCTCATTCCTACAAATATTTGCCACAGACTCCTCGAGGGGTGTGGAAGCCGGCCTCCTGCCCGCTGACTATGGTCCAGGTCTGGGACACGGTTTGGGAGTTACCCTGCCCAACCGCCTTTAGCAGCTTTCCCTGGGTGCCCCTGGTTCAGCACTTTCCCTTCATGCGATTGGAACCGAACGCTAGCTCCCTGGCAGCCATTTTCATGAAACAAACCCACGAATAGTCCTCAGCCCCGACCACTATGAAACTAATTTCGGCATGAGAACTTCGTGGGTTCCCGGTCACCTCTGGGGGACTTAGCCACGAATGTTAGTTTTCGGCATTAGGTGACCGTCCGGTTCCCGGACAACTTGGTTCGCGGTTTTAAACCACTCTGAAATCCGCCAGGAGATCGCTTTTTGGAGGGAAGATGTCTGAGACTAAGGGGAACAAACGCTTCCTAAAAGCCAGGCAGAGCACCCAGTATTGTGGCCGCAGGAGCTCCCGTAAGTTGACCGGCAAAAGCACTAAATGCCCTGGAACTATTCTGGGCATAGGACCACGTGTGCGGCCGGTCAGAACTTTAACACAGTGGCGTTTCCCCTACATTGCATGGATCTGAGCGCTATTTTAAAAACTTGGACGATCAGCTCAGGACTATTTAAATATGTTTTACTTTATGGTTTTTTTATTCTGTTTTGGGGTACTTTTAATGTTTTTATATTTTTGTGTTTGGCTCTGTGTTCCTGGGAGATAATTAGCTGACCGGCCTTTAACGCAATTATCTCCCAGGCCCAGAGATTCCTGGGAGGAGCTTATTTTGAATACTCCTGGGGTCCGTGCATAAAAGGCTGGGTTTGACCAATTAAAACCAGTTGTACTCCCAGAACTATTTGTCTTCTACTTACTGGGAAGGGCTTATCAATGCTCAGCACCTTGTTCCAGCTCGTGGCGGATTCAGTGGGGAAAGTCCTTGTAAGGGCTAGAGCTCCCAGGACTGTCTGTCGTACAGTCCCTGGGAGGGAATAGAGCTAGTCCACTATCCTGCTCTGGGACAGAGAGGCTCCAAGAGGACCCCAGTCAAGCCACGCGACTGAGGTTTTCCTTGGTTCCAGCTAGGAAGCAGTCCTTGGCGGAGGTACCCAGCTGGGATACAGGGAGCTCCGCTACAAGAGGCACTGGTCAGAAGATAGATTTTGCGGGCTTGTCAACTAAAAGTTTGAACAACCAACAGCTTCCTATGGCGGTACATAACTTCTGGTACCTTAACTTATACACACATATCTAAACAATATCACTTTCACGCACAAATAGAAATGTTATAGAACTGCAGATGTTTTTATGAGATTTATTTATTTTAGAACCATAAATATAGTTAAAGTGTCACTTGTTACAGTGTGATACTTTAAACAGATGACTGTCATTAGTACACTGTGGCCCAAGATAGGACAGGAAAATTTAAATGTCATTAATACACTTTGGTCTGACGAGGGGGATAGTCCCTTAAATATGTCACTGTCATTCGTATGCTTTGGTCCAAGTGTAGCACTTTTCTGCTTCACATAGTTAAATTACATCTTTACACTTTGGCCATTGATGATCGAGGTTGGGAGAAGGATCTGTTCGGTTGGAGGCACTGATGTGTTATTAAAAGCACGATAGAGGGCAGGAACATCGTAGCACAAAGATGGACTTCATGCATTAATTTGTGGAACACAAACCATACTTTGATTGTAAGAAGAGGAGGTGTCACACATGGTATGTTCCTCCTGGCTCTAATTGTTTTCTACGGTGATTGTCTCATTGTTTCTTTCATAAATCTCTGCCTACGTGGAGACCTCAGTTAATATCTTTCCAGGGTTGGAACAGAATTAACACAATTTTTTCCCTTTTCACCATTTAGTAGATATATCCCTAAAGAAAGCATGCATGTTGACAGCGTGTTTTCTTTGTGAGTATATGGGGATACAGCTTGCTTACCACAGAGGATGAAAGTCCCACTTACAGTTTGACTGACAGCTAGGGAGGTGTTGCGGCAAAGTCTGTTAATTGAAATAAAAAAATTGAATAAACTGGAAGAAGAAGATAAACACAGCACAGGCTCCAGGCACACAAAGCATGCAAGCAAGCTAAAGTGCTTTATGTTTTTGAAGAATTCCTTTACAGTGAACCTGTCATGATGTAACTTTTCAGCCCTAAAATTTTATCAAACCATGAATATATAATTTATCACTGATCAGACTAATATACAAGCCACTCAGGCTCCACAAACCTCCTATCATCCTCAACATGATTGGTCCTGCCTGTAGGAGGGTTCTCCTGCTTCTTTCATGTCACTCAACCCTCAGGATAGCCCTGCATGCTGAGAAATGATTGAGGGAACTTTAATATTTGAATTAGAAATATCTGATAATCTATATGTTTGTTAGCCATTCTGCAAGCACAAAGTATAGATGAAGTTGTATGCTCTGTAAAATGAGCGGAAGAAAAACGAAACATTTCATTGAGAAACCTTGGCAGATAACAATCAAACAAAAACAAAGTAGCATATTTTACTTCCATATATAGCTAGTGTTCACGACAGCTCCCTCTTAAAGGAACGCCCCCATGCACCATAACCACTACTTCCCACATAACTCCTCCTGATCTAACCATTTTAGAGCAGTTTGACTTCTTGTGTGGTCTGCTTTATCCACTATAGCCTACAGGAGAACTGGAAGCTCTTTGAACTAAGCCCGATGGTGCAAGGCTGAGCTCATTGGCTGAGTGCAATAAACTGATCCAAAACAGGAGCTTACGGCTGTCCTGGCTGCTTAACAGAGGAAGGAAGTGGCAACCAGTGGATCCAAGATGTCAAACCATTCTAAAATGGATGTACTGTACTGGTTATGATGATTGTTGTGTTACTTTTAGAAGTTAGTCAGTCTTTGGTCACAGAGCACTCAGATTTCTTATCAGCTGTCTCTTCTGAATGACTTACTCGATGGGACTGTAATGCAAGCTTGTCTTCAAAGCTTTCTCCACAACAGGTGCAAACATACAGTGTCTCTTCCGTGTGGATTTTCTGATGTATATTAAGATAAGATTTGCGTGTATATTTTTTCCCACAGTCATCGCAAGCATATGGTCTCTCTCCAGTATGGACTCTCTTATGCAAAACCAGCTGTAACTTGCGCGCAAAGCTCTTCCCGCAATCGTTGCACGAAAATGGCTTGTTTGCAGTGTGGGTCTTCAGGTGGCTTGCATAGGTTAAATGGTTACGTAGGCTTTTGCCGCACTGATTGCAAATGTAAATTGTGCTCTCCATGTGAAGCCTTTGATGTGTTACCAAATATGACTTGCTGCTGAAGCTTTTACCACATTCAACGCAAGAATACGGTCTCTCTCCAGTGTGAGTTCTCTTATGTATAACGTAGTGTGCACTGTTACTAAAAGATTTCCCACACTGACTGCATGAGTATGGTCTGTCCCCTGTGTGGGTCCTTTGATGTAACACAAGATGGGAACTCTGGATAAAGCTTTTACCACACTCTGCACACCCGTAAGGCCTTTCCCCAGTGTGGATTCTCTGGTGTGTGATTAAAGTTGAACTACGAGTAAAGCATTTGCCGCAATCAACACACGCATAGGGTTTCTCCCCTGTGTGTGTTCGTTGATGCGTTGCAAGGGTTGAACTGTGAGTGAACTTCTTACCACATTCTTGACAGACGTATTCTTTTGGACCGCGATGGGATCTGTATTTTCTCTTATGCCTTGGTGCTTCAGAATCCCCAATCTTAAATGCCAGAGACTGTAACTGGGCCTGGAGTTCAGCTGTATTGAGTTCCCAATCTTGGCAACTGTCATCCAGAGCAGAGATAGGCTGGCACACAACATCTGCTCTGGAGTCATACAGGTGGTCTGCTGTAAAGTCTTGACCCGAACGTGTGGAACGTACATTCGGCAAAATTGCTTTGGAACTTGTGCTGTTTTTGATTGATACATTTTGGGTCCTTAGTGTCTCTTCTCCAAGAGTCTCTCCAGTCACAGCCACTTCCATTTTACATATAATCTTGACACTATAACCTTATCCTTTCTCGGGCGTCATGGCACTAATAAACTCATCTAAAATGATAACACAGAATAATAGAACGTTATTTATACAATAAAAGCAATTTTAAAACATGTTTCAGTATGGTGCAAATCTCCAACATCAAAGGAACACAAACTTGTATTGCTTATACTTTAGTTTTAAATGCACTGTTTAGATACACCATCCCCCCATTGAGAGGCTATTGCCCATTATGGCAAAATGCTGCGCTGCGCCAATCATAGAGATGTATTAAATTAATGCATCTCTGTTCAGTTTCTCCATGCTGAGTGTGGAGACGTGGAATGTCAGTGCTGCACACTGTGCACCACTGACCCAGGAACCTCCTCTAGTGGCCATCTGAGTGACTGCCTAGTAACACCTCTAGTGGCAAACAGCCTTTTCTCTGAATTAAAAAGTCTGCAGGGACAGGCTATAGACACCAGAAACACCTCATTAAGCTGTAGTTGTTCTGGTGGCTAGTGTCCCTTTAAACTAACGTAGCAAGGACACTATAGGGTGAGTGAAAAAATGGGAACCACCAAAAATGTTGGCTATTGTTAGATGATGATCAAACCAATTTAACATTTTTTTTTATTATTATTATTATTATAAAGTGCAAGCATATTCTGCACTGCTGTACAATAGTTAGACCAGACATTATGAAAGTCAAATTAATAAGACAAGTTTGGTTTACAAGAGCAATATTGGATTTTAAGCGTGGTTGCTGACATTTTGTGTTGAAGACAGCTACTGGAGGTATGTTTAACCCTTCAAGGTGAACCCTGACGTTTCTTCAAAAGTACATTTTTTTAAATTTATTTTTTACCTTGAACAGTTAAAATGACAGGTCCACTCGACTCGGTGAACTTCACTGTGATGAAGTGTTCTGGGTGACTTTAGTGATCATTTAACTCTCCGCCTTTGCCAAGAGAAAAAAAAAGGCATCCACTGGTGGCTGCCTAACAACTGTAAGCTCGATTGAACAGGGTCCTCTTCATCCTATTGTTCCTGTAAGTTTTTGTAATTATCTCATTTATTGTTAAATCTCCACCTCCTATAATATTGTAATGCACTATGGCATTTGTTGGCGCTATATAAACGCCAATGATAGTAATAATAAGAATAACCGTGTGGTTCTCAAAGAATGCCGCAGCATCCCGTAACATCTACAGGTTATTCACTAAGGTGTGAGTTGTCAATACTTCCAAGTGAATTTCATATTTTCGGGAAACTAGATGAATTGAATATATTGCTGATTTAGAGATATCACCCCCCTTACCCTCATTGTAGCCTAAAATGTAATATTGACATTGAAATACAAACAATTCACTCTTTAGTGACTAACACTACTTATTGTGTTCATGAAACCATATATGTTGGGTGGGTGTAAATGTATAAATTAGACACTGCTATTATATATTATGTGTCAAATATGTTGTGCATCTATATGTGTCTTTCTATATCATCACAGCATTTTATCTATATTATAATGCCCATATATTTAAACACTCACAAACATGCAGAATATGATCTCTCTTTTACATGTGCAGCCTGTGTGCTTTATAACAGTAACCTACATCACACAGGCCATGACAGCAGCAGGATATGTAATTAACCCCTGTTTCCCCAGAAGTGGCCTACCTGGTACCAGATCAGCAGCCTGAGCTCAGCCTGATACTCTATGGTAATTGGTTGTCCTCTGCACATGACCGACACTCTTTGGTGCCTGTGAATTGTAGTTAATTTGCTCATACCTGCCAGCAGCGAGTGGGATGATAGAACTTCAAGTACCATGATGCAACGCGAATCCTGCTTTGGCTAGGAGAAACTGATGTGTGTTTAGTGGTGATTTTATAGGAATGACCACTCATGTGTCTTGCAGGATTTGACTAAAATTTGGCATTGTTGTGGACTGCTTTTCCCATGACTCTAAGCCAGCCATGACTAGCTGAGCATCATGGGAAGCTTATTCTAGTGCCAAATTTTAGTCTTGTGAATTAGAAGGGAAAAATATTGATTTCATATTTCCAATCAGCTGTTAAGTCTGGAATTATTAGGAAATGCAGGAACTTCAAATATGGGTTTCCTCATTTACTTTTGACTAATTTGAATCTAGGAATTTTTGCTGGGACTTTTAAACCCAAATTGTAGAATTCAAATATGTTTTTAAATTTTAAATTCACTTTGAATTTTCGCTCGCCTAAATATCCCTGTTTGTTTTTTGATTGCTGTGGTGTGAATGAAAATATAGCCATCTTTTGATCCGTTAAAGCAGCGCTATCACATTAACTTTGTCAGAAAGAGATTTTTTTAATGAAAAAAAAAAATAACATTCTAAGCACCATAACCACTACACTACACAGTAGTAGTTACAGTGCTGAGTGCCTTGGCTCCCTGCAGCCCCCTCTTCACATGTAAGTAATCAAATAATGTCTTAGCTTGGTTCTGCCAGGCACTGCCCCCTGCCTTTCTGCAGCTAGTACCGCCTGCTACCTCTCCTGGCCAGAGGGCCAGCTGATCATTCTCAGCCACAGGCTAAACCCTGCAGCGCCAGGCTTAGCTCAGTTAAGAGAGCTCTTCCATCTGCAGCAATCTAGCTGATCCCAGGTAAGAAGCCAAACCATTAGAAAACAGCTTTTTTTTTTTTTTTAAAAGGGACACTATAGTCACCAGAACAACTACAGCTTATTGTATTTTTTCTGGTGAGTAGAATCATTCAGAAAATGCAGTGTTTAAATTACAGCCTAGGGATACCTCCGGCAGGCCACTCCTCAGATGGCTACTAGAGGTGCTTCCTGGAGCAGTGCTGACATTCAGTGTCTCCACCCTCTGTATGGAGACACTGAACTTTCCTCATAGTGATACATTGATTCAATGCATCTCTATGAGGAGATGCAAATTGGCCAGGGCTGTGTTTGACTTGTGCTGGCTCTGCCCCTGATCTGCCTCCTTGACAAGCTCAGTCAATTCAATGTGAAATCATTGTGATTGGCTTAGAACAACACTTCCGATGATGTCAGGCAAACAGGCAGATTGGGGCACAGCCAGCAGCAGACTGCAATAAAAGTAAGATTTTGCTATATTTATGGGGTAAGGAGGGCAAGTTTGTGTTTTTAACACTGTAGTGTCAAGAATATAGGTTTGTGTTCCTGACCCTATAGCAGGCATAGGCAACCTTCGGCACTCCAGATGTTTTGGACTACACTTCCCATGATGCTTTGCCAGCATTTTGGGTGTAAGAGCATTGTGGGGGAATGTAGGCCAAAACATCTGTAGTGCCGAAGGTTGCCTATCCCTGCCCTATAGTGTTCCTTTAACTTACATTGGCATACCTTCCAACATTTCATATGGAAAAAGAGAAACATTTTATTTTTAGGGAATGTGATTTGAGGGGGAGTGGGGATGACCAGGGTTGAGGCTGACTTTAGTTCTGTTCTCTAGCTTTCGCCAGAAGGCTTCCAAGATGGCGTCCAGTCTAGATAACATATCTGATGTTCCTTGTGGACTGGGAGGACACGTGGTGGTCGCCATGATGGGTGCACCTGCTTGTTCGGCTTTGTCTCGCCTTTCTCTTGTGTCTTGCAGGGCAGCAGACAGGCCACCGATCAAAGCGAGCCCTGTGCTGGGGGAGCAGCCGCCTCCCATCGTCTCCAGGCTGCATGTTCGGACAGCGGATTTCCTCGGTGCAGAGGAGTATTAAGGACACCTGCGAGTGCCAACTCTTTGCAGGATCGATCCACCATCTACTCCACTCTGAATTTCAGTCGATTTGAATAGTAAAAGCTTTGGTTAATCTCAGGTGTGCAGGAGCTGTGAACAAACACGTGTGGGTATCTTGGCTGTCAGGCCCCACCCCAAGTGCAGCTACTTTTGCCTTAAATTTTAATTACATATTGAATTCATGACCATTCTCAGTTTAGTAAATACCTCCAATTGTGCTCTAAAAATAAAACATTTTTCATTAGGGCATGATATATGGCTTGGGGGGGGTGAAATCACCCAAATACTGCTTTTACTTAAATAGAATGTACTTTAAGAGCACCCCACATGGACATTATCATGTAGCTCATGTAACACCCTTCAAAATAATTGTAGATTTATAAAGATTTATATTGCCAAAGCACTGGAGATTTGGCAATGGTTTCTGTTGAAAGAGATATGGGAGAAAACCAGTTAAAATATCTGATGCAATATAGATGATCTTTTTAGCTTTCATATTAACCAATTTCTACACGTGTACATGGGAACTGGATTAAACAAACTTTCCCTGCTACAAACCGCAGAGAAATAAACTGCCCCTGTGTTATTGCAAAAACAATTAGAATTGGAAAAAGAAAGGGGAAATTTAAAAAAAAAATTTTTTAAAACCATAGGGACTATCCATAGCGCATGCTATTAGGTTTAGCCCTTTGTTGGCAAGTCTTTTATTGCTCTGGGCAGGTCATACTAAGTTGTGATTTTAAGTTTCATCTCCCTCGTTCCATTTCTGAAAGAAGAAAAAAAAATTAAAAAAAAATATGTATCAAATAGTTATCAGACTGGAACCAGGTGTAGTGGAAGTCCATATTCAATATGCCAGGCAAGACCCTACATAAGAGACGGCAAAACCAGATAATTACTTTGGCCACATCAGCCCAGTAAATATAGACTATACTCGGGCATAGTGAGCATGGGGGGCACCGCTAGATTATCTTTTAAACCTAGGAAAACATAAGAATATTTAAAAAGGGCCTAAAGGGATTTCCCATCAACCTCACCGATCAGAACTTTGAGAGGCCAAAACATTTTAGCTCTGGTATACACTTAAGGATGGGACCTGTAGAATATGCCCAATATCTTGCTGTAGTGGTTTTGAGGCCAGTGGTGCCCTGGGTTCAGACCTGCAAAGATTGCAGAAACAACATTCAGCATTTCTACAGGCTGCATGGATACACAGAATGGTCTCCGAAGAGATGCATGGACTCACTGCAGCAAGCCAATTTGCTGAGCATCTGCAATGCTTGCCTTTGGAGAAAGATTAGTTGAGATCATCAGGATAGGTGGGGCAGCTGCACGAAGATCAGCGTGCCAGAGACAATAATGCAATTTAAAAAATATTTCATTTTGGAGTGGAGGGTCTAAATATGTACTAGAAAACTATAGCAATAGAAATACATGTTTATATTACGAACGCTACAGTGTCCCTTTAATTGTTTAAACCATTTTAGAATGCTTTGGCTTCTTAACTGGGGTCCAGTGGGTGGAAGTGGGAGGCCCTGTTAGGATCTTCTATAAATGATCCTGCATTGGCTGAGAGTGTCGGGTAAGCCGGGCTTACTTTAGACAGAACTTCTGGCTCTCACAAACCTGTAGTGGAGGCAAGAAGCCAGGGCATTCCTGACACTATACCCACTACAGCACGCTATAGTGGTTATGGTGCTTGGAATGTTTCCTTTAACAAATAAAGAGGCATAACCATTTCTTCATCGGTTGATCTAGTCTATGACAAAACCTATTCATTATCCTCAACATTTATAGTCACAGAACACTGACAATTTCCATGACTAAATAATAAAATGTTCACAAAATAGTACAAAATAATACCACTAAAAATAGAGATGTGTTTCTTTTGAAAACCAACTCGAGCTTCAAACAGAATTAATATATTTTTAACAAGTCCAAAGCACTATCTTGGGGGGGCGGGGCCGGGCCGCCAAGCAGCATGGCAGCAAAGTAACATGGCTCCGGGACAGAATCCTGAAAAATGCCACACAACTCGCATACAATCTGCCCCAAAGCAGAAAAACATACAGAAGTGATACGGGGCACCACCCAAGCTACCTTACCATACTAAACTGCAGATACAACCGCATCAGGAACACCGAAACGGACGAACCCGGCCTACACACCAGCTTGAGCCTAAACAGGGGCAACCGCAGGCTGGGAACTGCCAGGACCGGAGGAACCACAGGCCGAGGGGACCTCTACAGGAAACTACTCGGCGAGAGCTGCGGCCCCGCTCCGCCCCCTCCCCCGGCCGGTGGGGGTAATCCTGGCCACATGGAGGCCGCACAACCCGGGCGGGACGCCACCGCCGGGGGAGCGCGCGGCCCTCCAGTACAGGCACAGGCTGCCTAATCGTGGCCCGCCTGATAACAACACCTGAAATCAAGGGACGTTTCATACCCAACTACTTATTTCAGGTCAGACTGCTGGCATTACCTTGAGAAGCAGCCCCATGGATGTGACACCCACAGGCGGAGATGGGCACTAGGGGTGATGCACGTGGGCGGAGGAGGCCAGGCGGGACGCGGCCGCGACATCCTTGGGACCCGCTGGCTGGATGCAGCGACCCTGGGATTATGCCTGGCTGAGAGCGGATCGCCGTCACCTCTGGGTTTTGTGGAGGGCCAGGAGGTGGCTGTCCCCGACACTGTGTGCCCTTGTGGAGTGGAGCGCGGCGGCCCCCGACGGACCGGTGGCTGAGGGGAAGTCGGCGCCTGCCCTAAGAGGCCGGAGAAAGGTGAGACACAAGACGGCCTTCGCCTCATCCGGCTGGGGCTCCAGAGGTGCGGTGGGGGTGCAGGGGATGACTGGCGCACGGACTCTAGGTGGGGGGGTCTTGTGGGCTAGTGGGTCCCCGGGTGCCCGCTGCGCTGAAGATCCCCTGGTCGGAAGCCCGGCATGACCTGGGGGGACGCGGCGAAAGGCCGGCGCCCCGGGGACTGGCTGCGGATGTGTCCGCAGTCGGCTCCCTCTGCTCGGAGTGTGTTGTACCTGCAGCCCGCCCGCTGTCGGGGGACTAAGATGAAAACGCTGCTCATGACAGGGGACTCAGCTACACAGCAGAAACATACGAGACTAACCTTATAAGCTGACTGCCATGCGTGTCTGAAAGTTTCAGAAGTTCTATAATAGTACTTTGCTACACAAGCTGAATACTTAGGGATTCTGGCTCATGTTATTAGATAATTAGGATGTTTTAATATGAATAAGTTTATGGGTTCTTGCTTTGCACTGCCACCAGAGGCGCTTGTTCCCTGATGTTCTTAATACACTTGATCCATGACATGCTTATTTAGCAATTAGCTAGACACTGCTAAACTGTTACAGATATGAAGTAATGTTAATGACATATTTTCTACCATCAATACACTTGAATCCTGACATGTGTATTTTGCAATTAGCTAGACACTGCGGGGCCGTTACAGATAGGATGCATCATTGCCTCACGGTGCCTGACTAATATACCATTTCCACCATAAATGTTCACCGCACCATACTTATTGGCGGTTATTTAAGCTTAACGAAGCCCTTTATGCTGAACAAGCACTGAGCTCAGCATCAGCATCTGCCCGCTCCAACAGGCATACATCAGCACTTGTATTATAGGATGGTCATTTCTTTTAACACTGCATTAGTTTGCCTATATACTTCATTACATGTATTGCATGATCAGCTACAGTTTACCTCAGATTGACGCATTATAGGATGTTGTTACCTTTTATGCTGTAATGCTTAGAAATGTATTCCTGCAAAGTTCAAGTACGCCTATATGTTCTGATCATTACGCCTCTGCGCAGGCGATAATCTGCATCTATTCCTATGTGCTAACATTTAAGCCTCTACGTAGGCGACCGTTCACCTTAATGAATGCTATAACTTACTGCTTAAGCCCCTGCGTGGGCAACCTCTGGCTTTATTACGAACCAGTTCGCAATATGCACTTATATTGTGAAAACAATAAAAATATTTAAAACAAAGCACTATCTTGTAACAAAACTGACAAATCCCTTGTTTTAAAAGTAGTATTGCCTTTGACTGTCCAACCTATGGAAAGCCATAAGACATAAAAACATGAAACTAAACAGATAGTGGTCTTTATAGTGCATGAAATATCCTATAGAGCCACCTTATCCTCAATTATGAAGTTCTGCACAATTCTATTAGGCTATGCTAAACAAATCAAATACCTTTTAATCGTTGGACAAATATATTCATTTGGCAAGTCATGAACGTATCCATCGTTTGTCCAGCCATTAGCAAACATGGGATTTGTTCACGAGTTATACCACTCAAATCACCGTGTTTATTGCAACAATAAAAGTTATCTTTAAACCATATTTTAACTTGATATATTACAATAAATCAAGGTATACAACACTTACCCATGAGACCCGGCTAAAAAAAAAACAAAAAAACATTTTATGGCAGGTCATTGACCATTGTGCCAAAAAGACACATTG